TGGAAAAACTGAAATCTCAGAGGCAAACAATAAAAAGCAGCTTGACACGCATTGCTAAGGCTGTTGCGGATCAAAACTCAACAACTGCGGAAATAAGTACGCGCACAAAGGACAGAAGAGTTGTTTCAGAAATTCGAGCAGATCCAGCAAGAGATCGACTATTTAACAACAGCAGGCGAGCAGCAGGCAGAGGAAGAAGCTTACCACGCACACATTGAGGACAAATATTTTGGAATAAAGTCGCTTTGTGCACATATTCTCGATGAAATGGATAACAACCGCCCAATCATAGACATAAGGCAGTCAGTCAACGACATCTCGACGGCGGTGCAGACGCTTATTGAACATCAGGGCACAATGGGTGCATTAATTGAGAGCATTGGCCGCAATGCATCAACACCGGTAGCTGAAGCCAACAACACAACACATCAATAACAACATCGATTACGTCTACCACGAATAGAAATTCCACAATGTGATGGGAAATGCACTGAGTGGATACGTTTTCGGGACGCTCGTGCATAACAGAGAAAATATTTCTGGTATTGAAAAATTCGAGTACTTGCAAACCAAAATGCAGGGAGAGGCATTGTCGCTTATAAAGCATTTGAAGCCAACCCACGCAAATTATATTGTGGCGCGGGAGCTATTAAAGTGAAAATACGACAAGTCAGACAGAGTAAAGAAAGCATACTTGGAGTTGTTGTTTGACCAACCCACTATGAAAGCATCATCGGTAGCTGAGATGAAACGTATTTACAACACCACAAATGAGTGTGTAAATGCTTTGAAGGTATTCGAAGAGCCAGTTCAACATTGCAACTCAATTTTACTGTTTCATTTGGAAAAAAAACTCGACGCAAATACGCTTGTGCTCTGGTACAGGGGAAAGAAAGCAGACGAAGTAGCAACCTTTCAACAGTTTTTAGAATTTTTGGAAAGCAGAATTGTCGAACTGGAGAATACGCAGAGGAGTAACCACAATTCCAGTCAAGGTGTCAGCAACTATACGCGCAACCAATCTCGCGCCTACATCGCCACTGTTCAGTCGTGCCCTGTATGTGCAAGGAAACATTTTCTGTTCAATTGCAACCAATTTGAGGAAATGAATGTCGAAGCTCGTCGGGTGCTGATGTATTTTCCGTGTGCGTCCTGCCAGAGAATTTGACTCATCCATTAGGGTCACCAACTGCTATAAACACAATCTTCGGTTGGGTTATTATGGGCAAAATACCTGCCACACGCGAGACACATTTGGTGACAGCACATACGTTCCTGGATTTAAGCAAACAGCTTCAGCATTTCTGAGAAATGGAAGACATTGCAGGGCCTACCCAACATCTCACACCAGAAGAAAAAAACTCAAAAAACTTTTCGAGAACGCCCTATTTCAGAATTTAATTGAAAACACCCTATCTCGAAATTCGGTTCAAAAACGCCCTATCTCACTTCAAAATGTATTGAAAATATGCTGATATAGGGCGGTTTTGAATCGGCAGCTGAGATAGGGCGGTTTTGAAATGAATTTTGAAATAGGGCGTTCTTGAAAAGTTTTTTGAGATAGAATGTTTTCGAACTGGCTGCCGAGATAGGTCGATCTTCCACTCAGCCATCGATATAAGAGCTTCATGCACGAGTACAGCGAGTTGGGTCACATGGAGCCATCTACCTGCAACCTTCACAGGACGTACTTCCTACCGCATCACGCGGTGATAAAACCAAATAGCACCACCACTAGGTGGCGTGTGGTGTTCGATGCGTCGTGCAAGACAACAAGTGCCGTATCGCTCAACGACAACTTATTAGTGGGGCCTACTATACAAAAAGATCTTTTCGAAATTATAACGAATTTTCGCAAATATGCAGTCGCATTTTCTGGCGATATAGAGAAGATTTATCGTCAGGTGCTTATAAATCCAAAGGACCGTTCATTGCAGTGTATTTTATGGAGAGACGCGAAGGACGAATTACCAAAGGAGTACAATCTCAAAACAGTAACATATGGTACTTCAGCAGCGCCGTTCTTAGCTATCAGGACGTTACATCAAGTTGCGAATGACTTCGAAATCGATGCTTCTTTGGCAGCAAAGGCGATTAAGCAGCATTTTTACGTCGACGATTTTATGGCCTGTACCATTAATGCGCGCTCAGCAATAGAACTCAAAAATGAGTTTTGCACCATCTTGTCGAAAGGTGGGTTTCATTTACGAAAATGGGCATCAAATTCTGGAACGTTTATGCAGTCAGTTGAGGAACGAGACCGGGAATTAAATTCAGAAACTATAATCGACACATCCCATGCAATTAAAACACTTGGACTTCTTTGGCATACATCAAGAGACTTTTAAGTAGAGCGTAAGTCTTGCAATAATCGAGCAAACTGTGACAAAACGCGCGGTATTGTCAGACATCGCAAAAATCTTCGATCCCATGGGATGGTTGTCACCAGTCGTAATCGCAATGAAAATATTTATGCAGAGACTTTGGCTGCGAGGTCTTGGCTGGGATGAAGAGTTACCCAACGATCTCTATAATAAATGGACAGAGTATCGGCAAAACATCAACGACATTCAAAAGCTACGAATTCCGAGATGGTTGGAATTCGCGGACGAAACGAGCGTCGAGTTTCATTGGTTTGCTGATTCATCAGAGCAGGCTTATTCAGCAGCAATCTACATGCGTATCCCATATGCGAAAGATGAATTTCGAACAAACTTGATTGCTGCTAAGACGAAAGTTGCGCCGGTTAAGCAAGTTAGCTTACCACGTCTGGAATTGTGCGCCGCACATCTTATGACAAAAGTTCGCAACGCCTTGAACTTGTTAGATGCCGCAGTTATCGGATGGACTGATTCAACAGTCGTTCTGGCCTGGTTATCAGACCATAAACGTCGCTGGAAAACGTTTGTTGCCAACAGGACGGCACAAATACTTGATGTCATACCAGCAGAATAATGGCGATATATATCGTCACAGCGAAATCTTGCAGATCTGGCCACGAGGGGAATTTGGCCTAACGAGCTCATCAATAACCAGCTATGGTGGCATAGCCCAAATACGTTAAGACAACTGGTTACAACATGTGATCATACACCAACCGTTCCTGAGGATACTGATTTAGAAGAACGAAAAGAAACGATGTCCCATGAAGCCACCGTTGAAGAAATTGACATATTCGACCGATATTCCAGCTACACTCACCTTCTACGAGTGATAGCGCTTTTGTTACGATTTATAGATAATTGCAAAGCTATGAAATTAAAGCTTGAAATGTCAAAGTCGTTTTTAACAACAAATGAACTACAGCGGGCGCATAACGCTTTGGTTAGGAAAGCTCAAACAGCATCATGTGCGCCGGAATTACGAAGCATACGTCAGGGTAAGCAATTGCTAGTTTCACACAAATTAGCCATGCTATCCCCTTTCATTGATGGCGATGACGTGTTACGAGTTGGGGGAAGAATCACGAATGCAGATGTAAACTACGATCAGAAGCATCCTATTATTCTCAACAAGGATCATCAGTTGACAAAGCTTATCATAAATGATTATCACGTGAGAAATTTGCATGCTGGAAACCGGCAACTTCATTACTTACTGGGTATTCGCTACTGGATTCCCCGCGTTACGATTGCCGTCAAGCGCTGTATTTATAAGTGTACTGTCTGTATGAGACAGCGTGGCATTCCATACCAGCAACAAATGGGTAACATCCCTCGTCCACGATTGAATCCAGGCAGCACGTTTCTGAATACTGGAGTGGATTTCGCAGGGCCAATCCAGCTCCGTTCATGGAAGGGTCGTGGCTCTCGACTGTACAAATGTTGGATTGCGCTTTTTGTGTGCCTCGCTACGAAAGGCGTTCACATTGAATTGGTCACCGAACAATCTACCGCTGCTTTTATAGCCGTCTTACGTCGTTTTATCGCCAGGCGCGGAAAACCCATGCACATCTATTCCGATAATGGAACCAATTTTGTAGGGGCTGATCAGCAACTGCGAGAAATTCACCAATTGCTTCAGTCATCTACAACACAAGATGGTATCACACGTGAACTCGCTGACCAGCATATTCAGTGGCACTTCTCGCCTCCGTCTGGACCGCACTTTGGTGGCATCTGGGAAGCTGGTGTGAAATCGATGAAACACCACTTGAAGCGCACGCTAGCTGATACTTCAGTCACCTACGAAGAATTGCAAACGGTGTTATGTCANATTATGCGTTAAGTTCGAGGACGATATTGACCCATTAACACTTGCACATTTTTTAATTCTCCGATCACCTACAACAATACCAGATGAGAACATGCTAAATTTGAAAGAAAATTCTCTCAATCGACGGCAGTATCTTCAGCGCCTTGTCCAACAATTCTGGCAGAAATGGTCAAGAGAATACTTCATTCAACTACAACAGCGGCCTAAGTGGACGCATAAGATGGAAAATTTACAAATCGACGACGTGTTCATCATAAAGGATGACAACTTGCCGCCATCCAAGTGGACAATTGGAAGAGTCACTGAACTACATCCTGCTGCTGACGGGCTCGTTCGTGTAGTAACGATAAAGACTGAAAAAAGAATACTCAAGCGAAACTCTGTCCATTATTTTTGGACGTTTGAAAGCGGATGCCTTCAAGAGGGGCGGAATGTTTAATATTATTTTGCTTTTATAAATTTTATTCTCTAAATACAACCCTGCGCTTTTTGAACTGGACGAAGGGCTAAACTTTTGGCGTTGGTTGAGTTTTTTCAATTAATGTCAAGCAGAGATTTTTTTAGTTATGTTCATTTTTCAACAAAAGACAAACTTGTAGTTCTATCTTTCATTAAACGGCGACAAATAAATAATTTGATTTAAACCAAGGAATGAAACAGATTCAAAATAACGTTCCGGTTTGGGTTTCGGTTTTGCCAAGTGTTTCGGTTTCGGTTTTGGTTTCGTTCTTCAAAATTTATTTCGGTTTTGGTTTCGGTTTCGTTCCGGTTTCGGTTTTTAACTGAAATTTTGTTGATATTATTTAAATCACAATGTCTTAAACGTTGAGGAAAGAAAATCGAAAATTACAGTTCACTGATAATATCAACACTGGGTTCTTTCCCTAACAATCCGGACCGGATTTGGTAATTCGAGAATAAGAGAAACATTTTCTTTCAAAAATGGAACAAAGTTCAGAAGTACGGAAACGCAAAAACCCACATTTCGTGCCCACAAGTCGAGAAACAGCTGATTCACGTTGTTCTTGTTTTTGTCACGTATACCATGATCTGACCGACATCGGAAACATGTTTTCGTTGCTAAAACTGGTTTTCGACCTAAAACTTGTGTTTTCGTCCATATAAAATCTGTTAAACGAAAACCAGTTTTCGCTGAAAACTACTTGAAAACTCACTTTCCACTCATTCCAATCGGTGTCTTGACTAGTTTTTTTCGATTATTTATCGAAGTGGAAGTCATATTTTATCATCTTTAATGCGCCATTTCGGATTTATTGTTAATTGCCTGACCAAAGCAAAATAAGAATGAAAGTTAAAGGTTGTAAATGAAAAGAAAATGAAGGAAAAATGTTTTGGTTGTCGGTCAGAACATGGTATTAAATGCAAACACTTGGAAATTGAATTTTGGTTTCACAAATTTGATTTTAAGTACATAGATTGAAAATACATCAACAGGCCATTCACTTTTCCTTAAAAGCACCGAGTAAATGCAGGCAACATGTAAACACAATACAGCTGATATGCACTTTGACAGTTTATCCATTTTTACTCGGAGAAAATTTCGGGCTGTTTAGGGCAGGAAGAAGAATACACTTACGATCGAATACGCTCGAATTTTCGCTCTCTATTACCCATTTTGTTGAGTACAGGCATGATTTCTGGGCTATTTTGGGCACACGTGGGATCTCGCATTGCGTACGGGAAAGAAACTACTTAAATATAATTAATCGATTATCGATTCACAACAACAAAGTCATCAGCAGATTTTTGCGAAAAGTTACCTTGCCATACTTATTTACTACTTAACAAGAATTTTAGCAAAATGTTGCTGATTTTGGTTAAATAAATCGTTTATTTCAAAGAAATTTTTATTTATTATTTTTGTAAATTTCGGAAAACCGATCGAAACCTGTGATTGAAATGGTTTCGGTATCGTTCCTTTTCAGGTCAAGATAACGGTTACGGTTTCGGTTTCGGTTTTGAGAAACGAAACGGTTTTAAACGGTTACGGTTTC